AATGTCCACATTCACTTGGGCTTTATCTTCAGGGGTGGCTGGTATAGGAAGATTCACCGAGTTGCCAGAAACAATTAAGGGTGAGATGGGGGAGGCCACAAGGGGCTGGTTCAGTGGACAGGGGAAGGAAGTAGGGTTAACCAAGAGGGTAGTGATGGGAATAGTCTGGGGGCTCTGGGCCACAGTTGCACTGACAGGCTGGATCATGTTACAGCCACTGCTGAGGCTCAAAATCTTTACAGTGGTGGCAGGCACAGTGAAGATAACGGGGGCAGAATGAATGAGGGGGGCAAGTTTCATACAGGGAGAGGCCTTGGCCCTCTTTCTCTTTGAAGTCCTCCGTTTCACACATGGCTTTCGAAACTTAGAAGGGCCAAGGGAGGGTAATATTACCTTGGGCACAGGAGTAGAAGAAAGCAAGGTCTGGGACTCAGTTGGAAGAAAGCTGGTTGTGGCCTCAGAGGGCAGAGCAGGCAGTGCCGCAGGAGACTCAAAACTATCACTCCCATTGACCCCCAGTGGAGGGACACCAGGAACTGTCTGGAGAACAGTGGCTGGCTGGATCGGGTGAGGAATCTGGACCGCCATTTTGCTCAGAGGGGCTTCTGACTGAGTTGACCTGGCTGGCATTTTCCCGGGGTTGAAGCTAGGCTGCAAAGAGGGGCTGGGTCGGATAGGGAGGGGCTTCAGGATGGATGATCGCTTCTGTCTCCAAGCCTTCCTGGAAAAATAGTTGGCAACTGGCTTCAGTTTCAGGACTACACTTTTAGGCAACAGCAGTGGGTACTGAGTTTCACTCTGCAAATCTGAGCAGTCTTTCTCTAGGCCTCGGTCTGAGTTGATCTCAGTGTTTCCTGTCACATTTCCTATCTCTCTAGCGCCATCAGCTATTTGCCGCAGTTCATCCTGGATGGATGGCAGGCTGGCCTAGTGGGAACAAAAACACTGATTCACTGCACATGTGAGACTTTGGGAAAAGAACAGGGCTTTCTAGATTTTTTTTTTTAAGTAGGAGTCTCATCCGTCGCCTAGGCTGCAGTGCAGTGGCAGGCATACTCACGGCCACCCCAGCGTAGATCTGCTGGGTTCCGGCAATCCTTCCGCCTGTCTTCCAAGTAGGTGAACTACAGGCATGTGCTACCATGCCCCACTAATTTTTTTGATTTATTGTAGATATGAGGTCTCGCCAGTTGCCTGGGCTGGTCTTGAACCTGCAGGCTCAGGCAGTCTACTCACCTCAGTCTCCCAAAGTGCTGGGATTACGGGCCAAGCCATTGAACCCAGCCGGCTTTCTAGATTTTAAGGAACTTTCCAATACCATCTCTCAAAACAGCGCACCAAGAAGAGATTTTTCTCATATCAAATTTCCATGAAGACAATATTCCAATTATATACCCTGAAAACTCTTCTCTTTAGAAAATCATCATTTTACCCATTACTTTGAATAGGCTCTGGGGAAGGGCAGAAAAGTAAGGGAAGAGGGTGAATGAGCAAGATTTCTCAAGTCCTACTTCTACAACTATAGCATTCAAAGATTTAAAAAAGCATTTGAAGGCCGGGTGCGGTGGCCACGCATATAATCCCAGCACTTTGGGAGACTGAGGTAAGAGGACTGTCTGAGTCCATGGGTTTGAGACCTGCCTGGACAACTTGGCGAGACCTCATCTCTACAATCAAAAAATTAACTGGGCTTGGTGCTGCGTGCCTGTAGTTCCAGCTACTTGGAAGCCTACTTAGAAGGATCACCTGAGTCCAGCAGGTTGAGGCTGCAGTGGCTGTGAGCGTGCCACTGCACTCCAGCCTGGGTGACAGAGTAAGACTCCAACTCACAAAAAAAAAGAGCCCATGACATTTCTGCCAGAATTTTGTCAGTGACCTTCTGCCTCCTGCAGACTCTGAAGAGGCAAGTTGTACCTTTAACCAGAACGGGAGCCGGTGTTCTTCCCTTTCTACAGGAGGCTTCCACTGGTGTGGCTGGATCTCTTCACAGCACTTCAGTAAGACAGGCAGTTGTTTGGTCTTCTTATAAAACTGAACACAAAGAAATAAAGCATAAGTTACCTTCTTTCCAGAAACATGCCCCCTGTCAGGTTGGGAAATTGGAATAGTAGTCATTTGAGATACACAAACACATACACAAACATTATATACACACATCCATAAATAGCACATGAATACTTTTACATTTCAAATTAAACTAATCTCTATTTAAGATTTTCCAATTACTCAATATCTTCTAACTGATGATCTCCATTCTGGTTGCCAGGAAGGATAAAGTCTGGTAACAGAAAAGGAAGCCAATGGTCTGAGTAATCGTATATAAGATTTACTCCTGGCCAAGCATGGTGGCTCACACTTGGAATCCCAGTGCTTTTGGGAAGCTGAGGAAGAAGGATCACTTAACACCAGGAGTTCAAGATGAGCCTGGGCAGCACAGCGAGATCCTATGTCAAAATGAATTTTTTAAAAATTAAAACATTAGTCAAGTGTAGTGGTGCACACCTATAGTCTCAGCTACTTGGGAGGTGAGGCAGGAGAATCGCTTGAACTCAGGAGTTCAAGGTCACAGTGAGCCACAATCACATCATTGTTCTCTAGCTTGGTGGACAAACCAAGACTTTCTTAAAAACAAACACACACACACACAAACAAAGCCCAGTGTGGTAGCTCATGCCTTTAATTCCAGCACTCTGGGAGGCTGAGGCAAGAGGATTGCCTGTGCTCAGGGATTTAGGACCAGCCTGAGCAACATGGCGAGACCTTGTCTCTACAATAAATTAAAAAATTAGCCAGGTGTGGTGGCGCACACTTGTGGTTCCAGCTACTTGGAAGGCTGAGGCAGAAGGATCACCTGAGCCTAGCAGGTCGAGGCAGCTATGGCCATGAACATGCCACTGTACTCCAACCTGGCCGACGGAGTGAGACTCTGACTCAAAAAAAAAAACTAGTTCCAAAGCCGGGCTCGGTGGCTCAGCCTGTAATCCCGCGCCTTTGGGAGGCTGAGGTGAGTGGATTGCCTGAGCCCGCGGGTTCGAGACCCTCCTGGGCAGCAAGACCTCATCTCTACAATAAATCAAAAAATCAGCTGGGCATGGTAGTGCATGCCTGTAATTCTGGCTACTTGGAAGGCTGAGGCAGAAGGATCGCCGGAGCCCAGCAGGCGAGGCTGTGGTGGCCGGGAGCGTGCCACTGCACTCCAGTCTGGGCGACAAGAGTGAGACTCCAACTCAAAAAAACAACAACAACAAAAAAAACTAGTTCCTGCTCAACAGCTCCAATTATAGTATGTCCAAGATAACCCTCATCTTGGACATACATGGAAGCTTCTTATAAGCAAATGATGGTGTTAGGGCATAGAAGGGAAGGGGAAAAAAGAGACTGAAAATTCAGTTTTAAAAGTAAATGAGTAGAACTCATCTTAAACCAGTGGCAATAAGCATCCACTCATTCAACTTATATAGAATGTTTTCTAGGCCAGGTGAGGTGGCTCACGCCTGTAACTCCAACACTTTTAGAGGCCAAAGCAGGTAGACTGCTTGAGCCCAGTAGTTCCAGACCATCTGGGCAACACAGTGAGACCTTGGCTCTCCACAAAAAACTTAAAAATTAGCTGGGTTTGGCACACACCTGTAGTCCCAGCTACTCAAGAGGCTATGGCAGAAGGATTCCCCAAGCCCAGGATGTAGAAGCTGTGATGAGCTGTAACTATGACACTGTACCACTGTACTTCAGCCTGTACAGCAGTGAGACTTAAACTCAAAAAAAGAAAAAAAAAGAGAGAGACTGTTTTCTATGTGCCAGAAACTTTGCTGTAAGCTACACACACAGATAATAAAAGCAACTCCTGCTCTCAAGGAGTTGACTAGTGGGAGAGACAGTTAAGTAGACCAATAATGACTCCAACTCAAAAATAAATAAATAAATAAAAATGACAAAGAAATATCTTAAACTTGCACAAGAAAGATTGTTCTGGAAGAGGTCCAACTAAAGATGATTTTTTTTTGAGTTGGCGTCTTTGCCACCCAGGCTGGAATGCAGTAGCACACTCACAGCCACCCCAGCATCAACCTGCTAGGGGCTCCCGTGATCCTTTCTACTCAGCTTTCCAAGAAGCCGGAACTACAGCACTACCACGCCTGGCTAATTTTTGATTTCTTTTTTTTTTTTTTTGAGTTGGAGTCTCACTCTGTCACCCAGACTGGAGTGCAGTGGCCGCTCCCGGCCACCGCAGCCTCAACCTGCTGGGCTCCGGCGATCCTTCCGCCTCAGCCTTCCGAGTAGCCGGATTTACAGGTGCGCACTACCACGCCTGGCTAATTTTTTGACTTATTGTAGAGATGAGGTCTCGCCTGCCCAGGCAGTCTCGAACCTGTGGGCTCAGGCAATCCACTCACCTTAGCCTCCCAAAGGCGCGGAATTACAGGCTGAGCCACTGAGCCTGGCAATTTTTGATTTCTTGTAGAGACAAAGTCTCTCCAACTTGCCCAGGCTGGTCTCGAACCCACAGGCTCAGACAATCCACTCGCCTTGGCCTCCTAAAATGCTGGGATTACAGGCTGAGTCACTGAGCCCAGCCAAAGATGAAACTTAATGCAACAGAATTTGCTACTCCACTCTCCCTCAGTTTCTCTTCCAGCTCTTACTTCTCGCCCTCCACCTTTACCTTTGGAGGAGGGCAGACCTGTTTTTCCAAACCAAACTTGCAAGTGCTCTAGAAAAATCTTACTTACAACTTTACCATGTGTTTAAAAAATTGATGCTAGATAACACCAGCATTTGTTATATCAGGCTCACCAAAGTTGTTTTTATAAATAAAAAATTAGTCAGGCACGGTAGCTCACGCCTATAATCCCAGCACTTTGGGAGGTCCAGGTGAGAGGACTGCCTGAGCTCATGGGTTCGAGATCAGCCTGGGCAACTTGGCAAGACCTCATCTTTACAATAAATCAAAAACTACAAAATTAGCTGGGCATGTTGGCACGTGCCTGTAATTCCAGCTACTTGGAAGGCTGAGGTGAATGCCTGAGTCCAGCAGGTCGAGGCTGCGGTGGCCAAGAGCGTACAATTGCACTCCAGCCTGGGCGACACAGTGAACTGTGACTCAAGGAAAAAAAAACAACAAACAAAGAAAAAGAAAATCTTAAGTAACTTTTACTAAGCCTAGTGCTTCTCCTGCTGGACAGATAAAATACTGGGTACTCTGTGAGCACAATAAGGATGGGAACTAATCACTTCCATCTAATTGTCCACACCTCACAAACAACTATAATTTTGCAATTTATAAAGGATTTTAAACAAATTTGCCTGTTCATAATTAAAAATAAGCCGGAACAAATCATTTCACATCCATGTGGTTTCTTCACTCTAGTTTTACATCAGACTGTTAACAGACAGAAATGGCAAAAAGTTTCCTATATGTAGTCAATTAAAAAAGGAACTTTTAAGTGTTTTTTCCCACTGAGATACTAGAAAAGCAACGGGGTGTCAATGTGGGGGCTGCAGAACCAAAGGGCTAAACAGGCACCCCTGTGGTTCAGGAAGGTGCAGTCGCTGTTAGTGACAAAATTCCAACTGTCCATCAGAAACCTGGTAAGAACGAACCTCTTAGGGGATGGTGTCCGTTGCTTATGGGTATAGTCTGTAGTGGCACTAAAAGCGTAATTGCTCCAAAGAGGCCTAAACCTCCTGGACCTTGTCCACTGTGCAGGCCAGAAAGCCGCTGGGAAGCAGGTGTATTCGCTTCTGAAGAGAGAAGAGAACACCTGGCTCAGAAATGGTGGCCACTTAAGAAGGCCTAGAAATCTGCTAAAGTACCTGGCACTGGCTCACCATCACTCCAACAAACCCCAGGTGATTATTAGGGCACTGAAACACAAATTAATTTCTTAATTCATACAGGTACCAACCTTTTGGTCCTGGCCATCCATGTTGGAATCATACAGATTTACTTAATTGTAAGTCACTAAAGGTTAATTCAAAGTATAAATGTAAAAAAAGTTATCTAAAAGATAAAGAAAAAAACCAGAAAGCAAAGGAAAAAATGTAAGAAAGTTACTGGTGAAAGGACAGACTGAGAGTAGGAAATGCATTTTTAAAATTTTGTTCTTAAACCTTAATACAATGATGAAAAAGTAGAGGCTATATTTTTGGAGAAATGCATACTTTAGGTAAAATAAACTTTGCCGACTTCATCTTTTCAGAAACAGACTTCTTGATGCCAGAGGTATCTCAGAGTGGCAATCAAGCTTGCCTAGAGTAAAGGGAATTTACAAGGCCTAAGACATCATACATTGGACATGGATTGAAAAAGTCATGAAACTTGTAACTACAAAAGTTATGACTGCAGAGGGTGAGCAAGTGGAGATTCCATCTTCCAGTAAAATAGGCCCTATCTACAGGGAAGTCAAGGATCCCCCCAAGCTACCCACTGGGAATGCCTAGGAGATAAGGAAAAGTGCATCCCTCCATTAGCTCTAAAGAAGGTTCAGGAACATTAGAATCCTTGTCACACCCTTCTATGGGGGCTATGATAATATGGACAGACATTAATAGGTCTCTGTGTCACAGGATCTCCAAGACATCCACAGGTAAGTAAGTAAGTAAGACTTCCATGGAAGTCACATCAGTCACGTCTACCTGTTTGCAACATCTCCAAGGAAAGGATTTAAGCCAGGACTGGGGTTGGGGGGGAGGGCTACGAGGCCATACTAACCTAGAGTGTGGGCCCGCTCCCTGTCTGTGACGGGCGAACTTTTCTTAAATAAATCTTCTCAAAATTCTTCTTTGTGTATTGCAATTCTTTGCATTGCTCGGATCTCTGGGTTGCCAGCATGCACCTCCGGCTTGCCGGCTCTGGTGGTGCTGTGCCTCCCCTAGCCTCTTCTCTCCATCCACCCTCACCCTATCTGTGCCCTAACAACTGGTATAAAGGTAAGTTTTGGGTAAGAAAGAAAGAATAAAGGAAGGCCGGGTGCGGTGGCTCATGCCTATAATCCCAGCACTTTGGGAGGCAAGGTGAGAGGACTGCCTGAGCCCACAGGATGGAGATCAGTCTGGCCAACTTGGCGAGACCTCATCTCTCAATAAATCAAGAAAAATTAGCCAGGTATGCTGGCATATGTTTGTAGTTCCAGTTTCTTGGAAGGCTGAGGCAGAAGGATTGCCTGACCCAGCAGGTTGAGGCTGTGGTGGCTGTGAGCATGCCACTGCACTCCAGTCTGGGTGACAGAATGAAACTCCAACTCAAAAAAACAAAAGCTATCAATTGTTGTAAAGGTATATCAGACCTACTATAAAAACAAAAGAAATAAGTTTTCTTTTGCCAATTGAAAGGACAGACTGAGAGTGGGAAGCCATTTTTCGTCTTGTTCATAAACCCTGACACAATGATGAGAAAGTAGAAGCTATGTTTTTAGAGAAATGCACACTTTAGGTAATATTAACTTTGCCGACTTTGTCTTTGCAGAAACAGACTTCCTGGTGCCAGATATCAGAGTTATCTCATAGCGGCACTCAAGCTTGCCTAGAGTAAAGGGTATTTACAAGGCCTAAGACATCATACATTGGTCAAGGATTATAAGTCATGAAACTTGTAATTACAAAAGTTATGACCACTCAGAGGGTAGCAGGTGGGGATTCAATCTTCAGTAAATTGGGCACTATCTACAGAAAAGCCAAGGATCCCCTGAAGCTATCCACTGGGAATGCCTAGGAGATATAAGGGGAGGAGCACCCTCCATGAGAATTCGAATCCTTGTCACGTCCTTCTCTAGGGGCTATGATATTATGGACGGACATTGATGGGTCTCTGTGCCACAGGATCTCCAAGACATCCACAGGAAGTCACAGCAGTCACGTCTACCTGAGTGCAACATCTCCAAGGAAAGGATTTAAGCCAGGACTCGGGGCTATGCCGTCACACTCACCTAGAGTGTAGGCCCACTCCCTGTCTGTGGGGGACGAACTTTTCTTAAATAAATCTTATCTTCTTTCACCTCTATGTGTTGCACTTTTTTGCATTTACTTGGATCTCTGGGTTGCCAGCGCATACCTCTAGCTTGCCAGCTCCAGTGGTGCTGCGCCTCCCTGTGTCTCTCCCTCTCCATCCATCTCACCCTTACCATATCCGGACCCTAACACAAATGTTTACCTGTTTTAAATTCTATTGTTCACTATTATTTCCTACAATTTAAGTTACAATCCAACTGCATGTCTCTAATTTTTTTTTTTAAGTGAGAAAGCAAGATTTATTAAGAGGACAGAAAAACTCCCACAGTGGGAGAGGATCCAAGGGGGTTTCTGCTAATGTTTTCAATTTTTTCTTAGACTTTGTCGAAATAGCTGTATTTCCTTGTTAAAGTCATTATTAACAAACCCCCTTATAACTGTATATAAATTCTAATCACAAAACCCAAAGAAGCTTGAACACAAGCTGTGGGGACATCCACAAATAGAATCAGGAATTCACTGGTGCAACAGTAAAAGATGCTTAGACTCCTGTAGTGGATATCAAGCCAACTGAGGTGACTATAAATACATTTTACCAAACATCAAAGCCTCAACATGTCATAACAGCGGCTATAATGGCCTTTATTATAGTAGAGTTAATTCAAATAGTATATGCTTGTACACAGTGCTTTGAATACTAAAGATACTTAAACAACTCCATAGGCTTCTGTGCTTTCATCCCCTCTTCTTGCTCTAGATAGGCAGGGACAACTCTACGCTGCATGTTCAACAGGAAGTAGTTACAGAAGCCTGCCTGACCTTTGTCCCTGTTCCCAGGTGCAAACAAGTGGGAAAGAACAGGAAAGTCAAGGATCTCCCAAAGCTACCCACTGGGAATGCCTAGGAGAAGGAAAGCGCACCCTCCATTAGCTCTAAGGAATGTGATTCAGGAAGGTGCAGGAGCATTAGAATCCTTGTCAGCGGGCTCAGTGGCTCAGCCTATAATCCCACGCCTTTGGGATGCTGAGGAGTGGATTGCCTGAGCCCGTGGGTTTAAGACCTGCCTGAGCAACTTGGCGAGACCTCATCTCTACAATAAATCAAAAATCAGCCGCGCGTGGTAGCGCACGCCTGTAGTTCCAGCCACCTGGAAGGCTGAGGCAGAAGGATCGCTGGAGCCCAGAAGGTCGAGGCTACGGTGGCCGGGAGCGGCTACTGCACTCCAGTCTGGGTGACAGAGTGAGACTTTAACTAAAAAAAAAAAAAAAAAAAGAATCCTTGTCACACCCTTCTCTAGGCGGAACCCCAAGAAACTTAGAATAAGCCGTGCTCGGTGGCTCAACCTGTAATCCCGTGCCTTGGGAGGCTAAAGTGAGTGGATTGCCTGAGCCTGCGGGTTTGAGGCCCTCCTGGGCAACTTGGTGAGACCACATCTCTACAATAAATCAAAAAATCAGCTGGGCATGGTAGTGCGCGCCTATAGTTCTGAAGTAGGGTCAATCTCCCTTTTACAGTTCCAGCTACTTAGAAGGCTGAGGTGGAAGGATCGCCGGATCCCAGCAGGTCAAGGCTGAGGTGGCTGGGAGCGGCCACCGCACTCCAGTATGGGCGACAGAGTAAGACTCCAACTCAAAAAAAAAAAAAAAGAGAGAATAAACTTAGTTCACATTTTGCCTCAGTATTTCCATTTGGGCTTTAATTAACAGGCACTAAATCTAGCACAGGTTAGACATAGATAAATTTCCAAGAGGCAGGTTTTAGGAAGCATTCAGATATTCTACTGTAGCCCAAGCCTCAGTCTACCCCACCCCTATCAGCTACAAGGACAGAGTCATAGAAATGTTAATAGACCACCTTTTGGTCAAGGAGTTTGTGGATTGCGAATGTCTGATAAGTTTCTTACAGGAAAACCCCTCCCCTTGTCTCACATCTAGCCATGGCACACGATCATGTGACTAACCTACTCACCTGCCTGCTGTCCTTCACCTGACTTTCAATACCAGCAATTACCTGCCCATTCATAATGACATGGAGCAGACTAACACCCAATCACCTTAATGACCTTCCCCCACCCAGGGAAAATGGTTAAGAGGACTCTAACATGAGCAGCCATTTTGCCAATGCCAGGCCATTGCCTTACTAGACTCTTTGGCCATGTGCTCTTTGAGCTATGGCTGTTACCATGCTTCTTGGCTTTGGCACCTACTCTATCTTGGGGAGGTAAATTTCCTTTTTCTCTAATTTCCTTTCTAAATAAACTATATTTTCTAATCTAATTTCTGTGCAATTCTTTGCATCTTTCATGCAGCATCAGATTGCAAACCAGACACCCACACTCCTAGAGAGCCTGACCTAACATTCTGGATGTCCCACTGAGAGTGTGACTCTTACAACCTGAATATCATCTAATCAAAATTTTGATACAATTATATCATACTTCTCACTACAAACAGAGTGAGAATATTGGAAAACAGAAAATGTGCAGGTTGTGGTGGGAGTAAGGGATTGAGGAGAGATGAATCCTTAGTTTCCATGGTTTAAAGTGAATAAATGAGGCCTAAATCCAAAACAAGTAGCTATTATAAGCATCTACCTAGATATGAAGGTAAATACACCATCGGCCCATAAATCCTAGGTTATCAGGAAAACAAGAGGAAAATTTTCTCCATGACTTTTTCTGTAGAACTATTTGACTCTTTAAGTATATGCTGTATGACTTTGATATAAATATCTACACAAAAAAGAGTACAGAAAAAGCATGTAAGTGGAGTACTGTCTAACATTTCTAGAAAGTTAGAGAATGTATGGATAGAAGAAAACATGAATTTGTTAAAGTATTTTTTTTTTTGAGTTGGAGTCTCACTCTGTCACCCAGACTGGATGGAGTGCAGTGGCGGCTCCGACCACCGCAGCCTCGACCTGCCGGGCTCCGGCGATTCTTCCACCTCAGCCTTCCAAGTAGCTGGAACTACAGGCGCACACTACCACACCCGGCTAATTTTTTGATTTATTGTAGAGATGAGGTCTCGCCAAGTTGCCCAGGCGGGTCTCGAACCCGCAGGTTCAGGCAATCCACTCACCTCAGCCTCCGAAAGTGCTTGGATTACAGGCTGAGCCACCAAGCCTGGCTAGATTTTTTTTTTTTGAGTCGGTGTCTCACTCTCACCATGGCTGGAATGCAGTGGCATACTCATGATCACCACGGCCTCGAAATGCTGGGCTTAGGAGATTCTCCCACCTCAGCCCTCCTAGTAACCACAAACTGCGGGCAAGTACCTCCACACCTGGTTAATTTTTTAATTCGCTGGAGAGACAAGATCTTGTCAAGTTGTCAGGCTGGTCTCAAATCCCTCGGCACAGGCAATCCTCTTACCTGCAACTCCCAAAGTGCTGGGATTACAGCGTGAGCCACTGAACTGAGCCTGGATTTGTGAACTCTTTTAAGACTTAAATAATTCCATATTTAGGGGAAATATCCATGAGAGAGAAGAGGAAGAAGGATCAGTGTCCTTGAAAAGGCAAAGGAGAATGAACCCAGTACACAGGTGGGAGGAATTAGCCTGGATGAAAGAAGGACTCTCTCCTCTTTTTTTTTTTTTTTTGAGTTGGAGTCTCACTCTGTTGCCCAGACTGAAGTGCAGTGGCTGCTCCCAGCCACTGCAATCTCGACCTCCTGGACTCCGGTGATCCTTCTGCCTCAGCCTTCCAAATAGCTGGAACTACAGAAGCACGCTACCATGGCCGGCTAATTTTTCTTTTTTTTATTGTAGAGATGAGATCTCGCCAAGTTGCCCAGGCGGGTCTTGCACCCACGAGCTCAGGCAATCCACTTTCGGCCTCCCAAAGCACGGGATTACAGGCTGAGCCCAGCCGGACTCTCTCCTCTTTGAGACTATAAGGAGGAAAAAGAAAAGGCACATGCACACAGGACAGAGTCGTAGGGGAGCAGGCAGGAGTACTCACTTTAATTATGTTGTCCGGAGCTCTGTTCATGTTGAGGTTCTTGATTCTCACGGTCAACTGGCGGGCAGTCTTGCAGATCATAAGGTACTGGCTGATTAGCAGGTTAGGAACCTCGGTCCCTTCAAAATGCTTCAGTCCTAAAGCTAACAAACTGAGAAAGGAGCAATGACACCAAATCTCACTTCAGTTCTTTCTTCTAAAAAGGCTCCCCAGATAACGCCACACATTTCACAATCCACTTTTCCTACATCGAATTCTTATACAAGTTGATGACTACTCAACAGAAAATTTCAGACATTTGTTGAGGGCTAATAAATACTGTGAATAAAAATCAAACAGGAGTTCACAATTAAGTGGGAAAAAGAAAAACTAGGCACAAATCATTAATAAACGATCACACTGACATTTATACTAACAAAACACAGTTCAAAAGAGAATACAGCCTAATCCCGTGCCTTTGGGAGGCTGAGGTGAGTAGATTGCCTGATCCTGCAGGTTTGAGACCCGCCTGGGCAGCGAGACCTCATCTCTACAATAAATCAAAAAATCAGCCGGGTGTGATAGCGCATGCCTGTAATTCCGGAAGGCTACTCAGAAGGCTGAGGCGGAAGGATCGCCGGAGCCCAGCAGGTCGAGGCTACGGTGGCCGGGAGCGGCCACTGCACTCTAGTCTGGGTGACCAAGTGAGATCCAACTCAAAAAACAAACAAAAAAAAACAAAACAAAAGAGAATACAAAGAAAGGAGAATGATTTTTAAAAAAACAAATGTAAAAATACTAGGTACCCTGTCAGAAAAATTAAATCACTATAAGTACTATCCCAACATAACATATTCATTTATGGTCACACATGTACATAATTGCTGATGGCAGTCTGACAATACATGTCAAGAGCTATAAATGCTTATAATTTTTTTTTTTAGTTGGAGTCTCACTCTGTCATCCAGGCTGGAGTGCAGTAGCACAATGCTCATGGCCACTGCAACCTCAACCTGCTGGGCTCAGATGATTCTTCTCCCTTAGCCTTCAGGTCACTGGAATCACAGGCATGCGCCACCATACCCAGATAATTTTTATTTAGTGTAGGTCTTGCTGTGCTGCTCAGGCTGGTCTTGAACCCCTGAGCTCAGGCAATCTTGTCACCTCCACCTCCCAAAGTGCTGGGATTATAGGCTTGAGTCACCACATCAGGCCAATGTTTATAACTAATCACGCTCTTGGGAATTTACCCACAAGGATAAACTCATAAGATTGTAAAAATCTATACGTACAAATATACTTCATGAAATCTCACTTAAAATAGCAAAACAAGTAGGGAAAAAAGACCAATAAAAGGACTATCATAAGACCATTAATTATTGCTTTAAAGGATAACATAACAATGGCTAGGTTTGGATGCTCCTGCCTATAGTACCAGCTCTTTGTAAGCCCAAGGCAGGAGTATTGCTTGGGGTCAGGGAAACCTCATCACCACAAAAAATAAAAAAATTAGCTGAGTGTGAGGCTGTACACCTGTAGTCCCAGTTACTTTAGAAGGCCGAAGTGGGAGGAATTTGAGAAAACTGAAACAAAATTGAGGCTGCGTGGTGAACCAGTATCACAACACTGCAGTTCAGCCTGGTTCACAAAGTGAGACACAGACTCAAAATAAATAAATAAATAAAAATTTAAAAATCAGCCAGGTGTAGTGTGAGTGCCTATATTCCCAGCAATCAGGAAGACCATTTCAGCCCAGGGGGTCAAGACTGCAGTGAGCTATGATTATACCACTGCACTCCAGCCTGGCTGACAAAGTCAGACCCTATCTCAAAAAAACAAGCAAAAAAAAATCCCCAAACCCACCAAAGACAATGTTATAGGTTATAAAAAAGAAAAACAATTTCAAGAAGATGTGATGTTTCCAAAAGCAAATTCAAACTTCCTTACATTAACAGTAGTCACATAAGAAATGTATGAAGGATGAGCGCAGTGGCTCAAGCCTGTAATCCCAGCACTCTGGGAGGCTGAGGCAAGAGGATTGCCTGAGCCCAGGGGTTTGAGACCAGCCTTGGGCAACTTGGTGAGACCTCATCTGTACAACATACCAAAAAAAGTAGCCAAGGGTGGTAGCACTCGCCTGTAGTTCTAGCTACTTAGAAGCTGAGGTGAAAGAAACACGAGTCAAGCAAGTCAATGCTGGGGTGGCCGTTAGCATGCCACAGCACTCCAGTCTGGACAACAGATTGAGACTATGACTCAATAAAAAAAAAAAAGGAAATGCATGGAGAAAGACAATGCATGGTTTGTGTAGGTAGGATAATAGATACAAACTTTTAGCCTGTGGTAATTTTCTGTTAATAGTACTATAAGATTGGTTTTATAATAAATAAAAGATAGTGGGGCACAATGGCTCATACCACCTAATCATAGCATTTTGGGAGGTGGCGGCAAGAGGATTGATTGAGTCCAGGCGTTCAAGACCAGCCTAGGAAACGTTGCAAGACCTTGCCTCTATAAGAACTCAAAAAATTAGCCGGGCGGGGTGGCCCCCACATGTGGTTCCAGCTACTTGGAAGGCTGAAGTGGAAGGATCACCTGAGCTCATCAGGTCAAAGCTGTGGTGGCTGTGAGTGTGCCACTGCACTCCAGCCTGGCCTCAGGGTAAGATCCTGACTGAAAAAAAAAAAACAAAAACAAAAACTAAAAGATAAAACAATAATTAAAATGTTTCAAACATGTGTGTGGCTTCCACCAAAAAAGCAGAATTTGGCAATGGTGGAACAGGCATAGCCAGTAGAACTCTCTACACTGCCTTTCTTTTTGTCTCTTGTGTCCGTGTATTATTATTATTATTATTATTATTATTATTATTATTGAGTTGGAGGCTCACTCTGTCATCCAGACTGGAGTACACTGGCACACTCCCGGCCACTGCAGCCTCGACCTGCTGAGCTCCGGCGATCCTTCTGCCTCAGCCTTTCAAGTAGCTGGAACTATAGACATGCGCTACCACACCTGGCTAATTTTTTTTAAATTTTACTGTAGAGATGAGGTCTCGCCAAGTTGCCCAGGCAGGTCTCCAATCATGGGCTCAGGCAATCCACTCACCTCAGTCTCCCAAAGTGCTGGGATTACAAGCTAAGCCACCTAGCACGGCTAGTGTCCATGTATTATTATACATGCTTTCTTTCCCCTAAACTCATCAACAAAACAATGTCTTCTCCTTGGGATATTCTGTCTTTTTGATCCCCGATAGCAAACACTCACTTGTCCTCAGCCTTGGTGAAGAGGATCTTGTACTGAGGATTCTTTTCCTTCAGGGAACACAATGGAAGTAGCTCTGGATACATGAAAACCTTACTTGTGGCCAGTGTCCAAGCCACTTGCTTTGGCAAACAGGGAAATTCACTGGCTGTAAGAAAAAAATCTTGTGATGAATAAAATTCTAGGATGAAAGAGGGCTTCAGGAAAGCCTGGGAATGCATTTTTGCATTTAGATAGTGCTGTCCTTATCTAATTTGATCCATTCTACCCACACACCCTTCCCAAAAAACTTTCCACAGTCTTTCTTAGCCTAACATTATATCTAAAGAGAGTCCCATTCAATGTCAATAAAAGTTGATTCTCTATTCTTTACTATGTGGAACATAACACATTAAGTAACATAAACACTTGCAAAGTACTTAGTAATACCTGGTACACAGTATATGCTCGAAAACTTTTTTACCTCCTTCCCCCTTTAAATTCTTAAAGGATAAGAGATATTCAAAAATGCTTTCTTTCTTCCAAGATAATACTCCAACTTTTTTAATCTCCCTCACAAATCTGGTATTCCAAATTTTATTTTTATTTGATTCTTACTTAACTTTCATTAAGTACTCCCAGATTCCTCCTGAGACTGGGAACAAAAAAAAACATAAAAGGAATGAGACAATTCAGTCTCCATTTGTTTCCTATCAGACCTCTAAATTTCAGGCACCTCTGAGTTACCAGAGACAAAAACCACCATATCCATCTCTCCTTCCGTAAGTATTACTTTTATATCTCCATAAGAAAAGCACAGGACACTAGATCTATGAGTTAGTACTATCCATTTGGTGTTAAGCTTTTTTTTTTTTGAGTTGGAATCTCACTCTGTCGCCCAGACTGTAGGGCAGTGGCAAGCTCCTGGACACCACAGTCTCAACCTGCTGGGTTCAGGTGATCCTTCCACTTCAGCATTCCAAGTAGCTGGAACTACAGGTGTGTGCCACCACGCCCGGATAATTTTCTTATTTTTTTATTTATTGGAGAGATAAAGTTTCACCAAGTTGCCCAGGCTGGTCTGGAACCCATGGGCTCAGGCAATCCTCTCACCTCAGCCTCCCAGTGTTGGGATTATAGGTGTGAGCTACCATACCCAGCAAGTCAACTTTTCATTACCAATATATAACTATTATAATTAGTTTGGTATCAGTGTCAATGATATAATACACTTAAATTCAACTACATTCAACTTAACTGTAAGACTTGAAGGATTTAAAAATAGAGTTCAAAAACTCGAATATAGAACAACCACAACTGATTTGCTAAATCAGGGGAAAAAAACAGAAGGAAATGTTTCACTTAAGGAAATAGCAAATATTTTCTCAAGAAACTCTTAAGACAATGCAAGATAGATGCTAAATCTGCAAATGTATTTAAAATACTAAACAAGGAAAATGTACAATCTCTAACTTGTGCTTAGCTCCCAAGTCAACCTTCCATTCAAAATGGAGACCCTACCTACCTATAGTCATTATAAGAAATATGATGAGTTGGTCTTAATAAAAGAGGAAAAACCTAAATATAACCAAACTTACCGCCTGCCTCCTATCTTGCCTAGACCCGTTTGTCTTCATCTGACTCCTAATGCCTACTACCTTCCTATCATTTAAGTGCAGTTCTTAACAGGGAGTCCCGATCACTACTGTCCTACATCCTTATCCTGTCCACTGCCTCCATGCCTTACCTAACCCCAAATGTTACCATGCAAATCCAGAACTCAGACAATGAGGACAAAAGGATAAAAACGAGAATGAGAAAAATTGCAAATATTCTTTTTTTTTTTTTTTTTTTTGAGTTGGAGTCTCACTCTGTCGCCCAGACTGGAGTGCAGTGACGCTCCCGGCCACCGCAGCCTCGACCTGCTGGGCTCCGAGGATCCTTCCGCCTCAGCCTT